CAGTTTTTGCAGGTCATGTGGCCAGCAGGACTAAGCCGCTTCTGGCGAACCAGAGGAGTGCATGGAAATGCAATGCAGAATACTTGACATAAAATCAGGTTGCAATGAATATTGTTTGCCAAAGGAGCACAGATAGCTAACATAGTTCAGATGCACATCATAATAACAACAATATAACAACAACAATAACAACAAAAATATACCAACTCTTAAGGATAATGAGATTATTTAATATTAGGGGGAAAGTATAAATAATAAAGCAAATAGATTGCAGTATGTCAGACATAATTCTAATGAACAAAACTTTTTCTAGCAAGGGAGGGGTCTTTTGTTCAGCCCAACTTTTTAAGATAAGTGACCCAATTTGAATAACTCAGACTCAGTGCCAGATTTACGTATAAGCTAAACAAGCTATAGCTTAGGGCCCCACTCCCTTGGCCCCCCCAAAAAAAAATTAAAGGAAAAAAAATTGTATTAATTGTATTTCAGTTCAACAATTACTTTGATAAAATATATATTTTATTATGTGCAAATGGCTTTAGATACTGTTTAGGTCCATAAATTACCATATAGCATATATTCAACAACAACAAAAAAGCGACAATTTGTTGTTGACAAAGGACAGCTGGACATATAAAGGGCCCCATTACCTTCAGTAGTTTAGGGCCTCATCAAGACTAAATCTGGCCCTGCCCAGACTAATCAGTGTAATAATCCTTTCACAGTTCTCCAAAGTACTAAAATATGGGAAGAAATAATTTGTTGTGTTTTATTCTAAAACACATTTAGAACTGTGTAGATTGTAATAAAATACATATTAAAATATAAGTTTACAGGGTGTGGTTTTTTTAAAATCACAGATTAGTATGGAAATGGAACACAAATGATTTATGAGTGAACACACCTGAAATTGACAAAATATATACTGATCTGTCCATCCCTGTTTCTGTGATTCACTTGCACATTACACAGCTGATCAATTGAGTACCAGTTTATAGCTTTGAAAATAAAGAGGCATTTATGGATGGCAACATTTGTGAGAGTGGTTTATATAAATACTCCCTGGGAAAAAAGTGGATTTCTCCAAAAGTTAGAGTTTTTTGAAATTCACGGAAATTTCAGCTGAGTTAATGTGGAATGAAACTATCGAATTAAGCAACACTGATGAACGAAAGGAGCGGTGGGCTAAGATAACTGGATGGAAGAAGAGACTTTATTGTAAAATATCAAAATATTAGATACAGTGGAACCTCTACCTGCGACCATAATCTGTTCCGGAGGTCTGTCCGGAGATCGAAAAGGGTCTCTGGGAGAGGTGCCATTGTGCGCAGGCGCGGGCGACGATCACCACTTTTGTGCCTGCACAACCGGCCACAAACCAGCAGGTTACTTCCGGGTTTGCTGTGGACGTTGGGCAAAATGGACGCAAGTGGAGGCAGATGTAAGAAGAGGTTTGACTGTATTAGTAAGTAAAGGTAAAGGGACCCCTGACCATTAAGTCCAGTCATGGCCGACTCTGGGGTTGTGACGCTCATTTCGCTTTACTGGCCGAGGGAGCTGGAGTACAGCTTCCGGGTCATGTGGCCAGCACGACGAAGCCGCTTCTGGTGAACCAGAGCAGCACACGGAAACACCGTTTACCTTCCCGCCAGAGCGGTACCTATTTATCTACTTGCACTCCTGCTAGGTTGGCAGGAGCAGGGACCAAGCAATGGGAGCTCACCCCGTCGCGGGGATTTGAACCGTCGCCCTTCTGATCGGCAAGTCCTAGGCTCTGTGGTTTAACCCACAGCGCCACCCATGTCCCTTGACTGTATTAAATAATACAAAAAAATTCTGAAACTAGATCAACTGTTGCATCCAATGTTCTCCACCGTATTCACAGATGACTAAACCATGGAGGTCATTTCCCCACTTTCTTTCCCCCCAAGAGAGTGTTGTAATTCTGCTATGGTGTGGAAAGTTTCAAAATAAAAATAATAATAAAAATCTGAAAACGTTTCAGAAAATTCTAGCTTATGGCAATTCAACTCAGCTGTAACAAGACAATTCAGATAGTGCCTTTTATGATCACCCACAGGAGCTGTTCTAATACACTGAGACAAAACTGAGAGAGAATAAATGTACCATTTAATTAATGCTTTCAGTCATATACAGAGCAGAATGCTGTCATGCAGAAGATTTTCCATATAAGCTGGAAATGCATATAAAACGAAGCTATGAAAAAGAATATCAGGACAGATACACGATATGTTTATGAAAACCCAACTCCTTACACAAGGTCATCAAAGAGCTCAGAAGAGAGACGTTGTTTGAAGTTTAGCGCACTTAAAAAATGGAAGATGTGTGAAATAATGCCACCAATTATAAGGTCTCCTGGCTGATAATATTTGTGATGGATAAGAAGAGGGTCACTAACATTGCATCTAGAAACAGGAACCATGCACACTGCCTGAGGAAGTACCACTGCTAGCAGTACCAATAATACCTCCATCTTGCACAAAATCTTCTTGATAGGAACCGATCAATCTCTTCCTACACCAACATCACCATGATACTGAATTGTACAGTCTGGCTTAAATGACCACTCACTTGGATGATTGAAGCCAGGGCTGTATGGAGCAAAATTTCATTTATCAGAGCCTTGTGTGTCTCTAGCCCCAGAAACAGAATGGAACTCTCTTTATCTATTTATTTTTTCCAGTTCTGAACGACACAGAAGATCTTAAATGCCTTCTTCCATCTGTGGTGTTTTGCTAGCGGCCGGCTGAACTGTCTAAGGAATTGGTGAAGTAGTAATTATAGATAATTATAGATAATTCCATAACTGTAGGGGAGATAATAACTTGCTCAGAATTCTGGATTCTCTAAGATGAAAACATATCGATCACATTTCAACAGAGCTCTCTCTTGGTTCTCCTTAACGGGGAGACTAGGGACAGCATAGATACAAGAGGGTGTTGCACTAGGTGAAAAAAATGCACTAGGTGAAAGGCCCTGATTCAGCAAAAGAGCTCAGTTTTCAGAGGCTGCCTGGTTTGTCTCAGTGTTATGTCCAGAGTGGGGATCTTAGAATAATAGGCAGGTAGGATTTTGTTGTTGTTGTTTAGTCATTTAGTCGTGTCCAACTCTTTGTGACCCCCTGGACCAGAGCACACCAGGCACTCCTGTCTTCCACTGCCTCCTGCAGTTTGGTCAAACTCATGTTCGTAGCTTCGAGGACACTGTCCCACCATCTCATCCTCTGTCGTCCCCTTCTCCTTGTGCCCTCCATCTTTCCCAGTGTTCGGGTCTTTTCCAGGGAGTCTTCTCTTCTCATGAGGTGGCCAAAGTCTTGGAGCCTCAGCTTCAGGATCTGTCCTTCCAGTGAGCACTCAGGGCTGATTTCCTTCAGAATGGATAGGTTTGATTGGCCATAGGAGCCATCCAATCCAGCTCCAGATGGGAAGTTTGAATTGGCCTATCAGGTAATGACCTAGGTGTGAATACAGGATATATAGCCTGGGGTCTGGGTGGGGCCCCAGCAACAAACACACATGAGGACTGACCTTATTACAACTTGAATAAACTCCTTAAAACTAATGGCTCGACTGAGTATATTACACTCAGGTACGAAACAATAACCAAATCCAACAATAAAATAGATTTTTGCCTATGCATTCACTCTGATGGCATTTTTAAAATAAGAAACCATGATTGTTATCTTTTTGTCACAAATGATTGAAATTTGCTGGTAGAACAGCTGCTTCTAAGTAGATAAAGCATTGCAAAAATAGATTGAATTTGCCATAGTCCATCATTGCCAATGCACTTTGCAGCACAAAACGTTTTATTTGCAGCTGTATAGCTGAGTCCAGAGACTCGTGTGTCTATGGCCCCATTTTCAAATGGCACAGTAGATAGTATATTAAAAGCTTCCTCTAGTCTTGGTTCTTAGTTTCACACCTGACCCCTGAATTCGCTACTAACTAGAGCAGTGGTTATATAATAAGTGGTTCCCAACCTTTCCCCCCGCCATGCTCCATATAAGCATCTCTAACATCTTGAGGCCCCCCTCCGTGTGACATATAATTTTTATTATTCAAAAAGTGAATTCCTGTTTGCTTGGAGGAAGCCTAAAAGACCATTAACTGTTCATAATTCATTCTCAAACTGCCCCCCCCTAAAAATCAAATTGCCCCCCTGTGCCCCACGTTGGGAACCACGGAACTAGAAGAATTAAGAGATGCAATTATGGGTAATTATTGGGTAATTCTGGTGTAGTTCATGGGTCACTCATAAACTGTAGTTCTTCTGGGACTCTACAAAAGAAAACAAGTTGCTTTTTGTTCAGATCTCAGCAAGATTATCCTGAGCGGGATGGCAAGGTATTTATTATGAGTCAAATATATGTGTTCCTGTGCATATTGGCAAAATTTCTGAATAAATTTTAATATGTTAAGGCAGCGTCAAAATGTTTGTATCCAGTGGATGAGTTTGCATCCCTTATCACTCTTCTCAATCCACTCAAGTAGATCTAACAGAACTATTGAACAACTATTATCAGCAGGCAAAGGGGATTTTATATTGGGATGTCGAATATTGGGTGTGTAGATAATTGAGGGTGCACTGTGAAATTATAAGCCAGTTAATAACCTCACAAAATGCCCCTTCTGGTTTCACATGATTACATTGGTGTCAAGACCATGGAGAGTAGTGGAAATGAATGAGGTGCCACGTGTGTGAATAAATCATGGTTGATTGAGATATGATGAACCAGGACCAAACTTCAGAAAATATGGGACTCAGTTTATATTAACT